GCGCCGCGCGCTACCCGTCCACCGTACGGAGAACATCGGAGTCTCGAGCCTTGAGCTCATGTTGGTTGTACATGGTGGCTGGTGGTCTATATTCACAAGATGCCTTAGGGCTCCTGGCCCATATTCTCAGGTGGTATTCGACCCCCTGGCACCGAACCGAAACGGAGGTAGGCCAGGAGCCCTATAGGGTATAGGTGTGGACTTCGACTTCAGCCTTCGCCTGCGGACGGACCCACAAAACCCCACGCCCTTGCAGAAGAGAGTCGATTCTTGAGACGTGTCTTCCGCCAAGCGTGAAAAAAACATGCAAAACATGGGGAAAATGCATGTATAACTGTACTGTATATACTTTACATACATGCATTAATTGATCTATGTTTCAACGGTGAGTCCGGCAATGTGATTCAAGCCGAAGTCGCTGGATTCGCTATGTCCAACGATTTCAAAGAATAAACCGTCAGAAACCAGGGGCCCCCGGTTCGTGGTGTCTATTCATAGCCCCCCAAAAAAGGTGATTCGGGGGGGGCCTTGGAAAAACAACAACCCTGTTCAAGGTCCTGGTACATCAGCAACTTCCAACCAATCACATTCACAGCCTACCGGTCTATGCCCTCATCCTACTCGAGTTGGTCATACAAAGTTACTTAATCCAAGTGAGGTTGGCACAAAAACGCTTAAACATCTTAAACAACAACTGGGGTCAACTCTAGACCGTTTTTTGACCCAAAACTCGGGCGCTGGTCAACGCCTCGCCGGATCCCTCGCCGGGCACCCCCACCATTCCAAGGTCTCTGGATCCATGGCGCTTCGAGTTGGCCCGCGCGGAACGTCGCCGCGGAGTCGGTTGGGCTGATCGGGAGAGTCGTACCCCCCCGACACCGGGGCTGGTGGGGTGCCAGGCTGATCCTTGGTGTTTTTGTGGCTCAACAAAGGGTGAATCCAAAATCGCAGCACACAGGCAGCACATAGAGAATTGAAACTATATGTGATTTAGCAGGATGAAGCATCAACTGATATTGCACCGTTTCTATATGCAAATGATATCATTACACTTGGCAAAGCTTCGTGATGTTCAGATTGTCTGGCTCTATCTGTGATTCTTGACATCATGAATTCCTGACTGATATGTATATGATTATATAACATTAACATTCCTTATGATTCCTGGTTTATATGAACATTCCTTATGATTGTGTATTATATAACCTTCCCTTCGCCTCAAGCATCCTGGGCAGGCCGGGCCCTCCGTCCTCCTTGTACACCCTCTGAGCCCGAGCGAGAGGATGAAGACTTCATGCAAAGCCCCCATCTTTTCCGGAGAGTTCAACAACTACAGCAAACCTTACCGTCCCCACGGTAGGGATATGCCCATTGGTTTGGTCAGGCAAACTGCCCTGTATGTGGATATTCGAAGATGAAAAGTAGAGGACTCCCCAGCGTTCCTCATGAGAGTTGCCGTCTTGTCTGGATCCCGACACCACCCGATGTGCTGAAAAGGTGTGTGCTCAAGACCGGATACAGGGATGATGCAAAGGAACTTGGTGTTCACACGAACTGAAGAGGTCTGTCAGATGTGAACATGGTCTTCTTGAAGAGCGTAATGAGTCCAACATGGCTCTGGCCCTCGTGACTCTAGAGTCAACTTGCGCCCCATTCCGCCGGATCGTCACCTCATACAAACGCCAAACCTCCGTGTATACAGTCACGTGGTGTGTTCCATTGGAGAAAGGTCCCCTGTTTGCCTGAAACCCATCCGGTGGGAGCCACGACTGGCCGAGTTCGCTGCATCCACTCGACTCTACGCACCGGAGTTCACTCCGGTGCCAGCCGGGCGCGACCATGTGTTGGTGGTTTCAACTCGCTTGAACTGCGTCACCCAAATCTGCAGACTGGATCACCAACAAAGAACTATAATGACGTACACATTTTAAATGGTCGGATGGCCTGGATGTCTTTCGAAAGCTCTTTTGGGCCCTCAAAGAATCAATGTTCCTTCCTTCAGAAAAGAACATGTGAACCTGAAGTCCCATCAATGTCCCCTAAGGTAGTGAGATGTAAGAACATCCCACGTTAATAGGAACCTCCTACCTCCAAGAAAAGGATCAAAGATCTGAACGGCGTCGATCAAGGATCAAAGTTTGGCTGCAACTCCGAACGGCGAACGCATGCGAACGCCGAAACCGACCGCCATCCAACCGCACCAACCACGTTTTTTTTGTTTTTTTAAAGTTTCTGTGAAGCGCCCGGTGGATCTCTGCGCAGGTTGGGCCACACCGGAAAACTTCCTGGGGTCGAGGGAGTGAACATGAGCGGATCTCCCAATGTACCTTTTGAGGCAGCCGATTTGGACACCAGGCACAGGGATTCTCCATGATTTAGAGGGATTTGGATCCCAAATGGCGAAATTCGAATGCCAACAAGAATTCGGACACCAATTCTACTTATTCGGAAACCTGTAGACCAATTTTCACCGATAGAGTCATCCCCAATGTTTAATGTAGGTAATCTCTTCAAATCATCTAATCTCTGCCACCCTGTCAAGTTGTCTCTGGAGTATAGGGCAAACAAACACTCAGATTCTACGAGTTTACTGGGAGACTACAACTCATCACACCGAGAGTAGATGGCACAAATCCAACGTTTCACTCCCTGATGTGTGGACATGGGGTGTCCTATCTACTCATGTGCGCATGTGTTCGTTGTACATCTGAAACGACCAAGGATGACTTGGAACTATTAACCCGCCAAAAGAATGGATATCAACGATCATGTCCCAGGGCCCCCGGATAGCGGTGGTTAATGGACACCCCTTATATAACCACTAAGGAGCTATGATTAAACACCCCTTAGGGGGCCCAGGTCTATTCCCCTTAAGGAGGCCCAGGTCTATCCCCTTAGGGGGCCCAGGTCTATCCCCTTAGGAGGCCCAAGTCTATCCCCTTAGGAGGCCCAAG